CCCCCCCCCCCTCCCGGGCTCTACGCCGCGGCGAGCTGCCATCGCATGGTGTCGGGCTGTGTGGCCGCCGCGAGCCTGGCTGCGCCTCCGCCCGACCGGGCGGCATTTTGCGTGCCGTTTCCCTGCACCCTGGGCCTGGCCGTTGCTGCTGGGACTGGGTGGCCTGGCTGGCGGGCTCCGTTCGGGGCTCCCTTCAAAGGAACATGCCCCTGTCAACTTGGAATGGACATCCGTGTCAAGGGGAGAAGGGCAACAAGAAATCCGGACCGTCACCAACGGGCATGCTGTTTGTCTTCGCACAGCCGCCGACGAGTGCCAACCAGGCGTCCGGCCAACTAGCCCCAGGGCGCCACGGGCCTGCCCACCGGACTGCCATCTGCCGCGCTGATTGGGTGTCTTGAGCCGAAAAAACCCCAACACATTCTCGTCGTGTTGGCCCGGGTTCCTGCCAATCTCCGGCCGAAGGCCCCCCTCCCTTTTCGGGCGCTAAGACGCCACCGCATTGCCATCTCACGACGACCCATCCTTCGGAGAGGGCCCATCCGGAACGCACTCGGGCTGACACGCCGAAAGGGGGGGGGGGGGGGAGCGAGTGGCATGGGCCAATCTGCCACCTGGCGCCTGCTTCCGCGTGAGTGTGCGTACATCCCCTCAGGGCAATGGTCTGTCGCCGGTCCAGCCCACGCGGCTTCTTTCCCCCCTCCCCTGTAATGCGTCGATGTTCGGTGAACACGCGGGGCTTTGGGCAGGTTCTTTGGGCGGCCATGCGCGCTCGGACAGGTTCCTCCTGGGTGCGTCCCTTGCCGACCGAGAATGGATATCCGCCTGCGGCCATCGGCATGCCTGGGGCGTTGCCCCGCATTTCGCCATACCCATACCGCCTTGGCCTCGCTCGCAACCCGGACACCGGGCTTTTCCGGAGAGAGCCGGTATCCAGTCATGCCCGATGCCTGTGTCTCGGGCATGCGGCCCCCGGATGCCGCTGGCTGTCCTGGGGGCAAGACCAGGCCAGGCCAGCCCATAACCAGGCCAGCCCATAACCAGGCCAACCCAGTCGACAACCAGGCCAGGCCAGCCCAGCCCCGAGCCCAAACCGGCTCACTTCAACCAGCTTGTTGGCCAGGCGTCTGACCCTGCAGACCACAGCATGCTAACGTCGTGGACCAGGCCGATGACCCCCTCCCCCCTCCGGCCTTTATAAAAGCCCCATGTGAGGCGCTTTCCCTCTGCAGGAGGGGGAATACAACACCCCGCTTCGCCTCCTCCCCTCTCCTGTCACGAAACTTGCAAGCACTCCCGCGCACGAGTTTCCCTCGCCAACACCCCCCCCCCCCCCTTGGCCCCTCCCACCGAAGACAATCATGCTCAAGGCGTCCTTCCTCCTGGCCTTCCTGGCCCTGTTGGCTGTGGCCTCCGGCGCCCCGGTGGCCGATAGCCTGGTCGTGCCGCGCGTTGGCCTGGCCGGCGTCCAGAAGCCGGGCCACTATTCCACCAAGACGCTGAAGGCCCTCGCCAATGCCACGCTCAACCCCTGTGAGTATGAGCTTCTCTCTTTCCAGCGTAGCATCGAAGACATGGACAACGCTTGCAGTGTGTGGGCCCTCGAAAAGGCCGCCAGCCTCGGCAAGTGTAATGTCGAGTCTGCCAACACGCACCTCGGAAAGACGGTGGACATCACTCGCGCCCATGAGGATTGCGCACAGGTGATCAAGTCGCACAAGGCCTGGTGCCGCGAGACCCAGCCCGACTCCGAGGCCGCCAACTACGACCTCAGCGAGTTCGAATGCCCTACGCGCTACCAGACCTCCCCCAACAACAAGAGCTTCCCGCGCAAGGGCTGCGACAATGTCGGCCTCGGCAAGATCTACGCCTCCATCGAAAAGCACTGCGAGCCGGGCGACTTCCTGGGCGTCACGCTGGACTCGCTGTGCTTCAACAAGAAGTGCGCCTCCGCACTGGGGGATTTGTATGTGTGCGCTCGCGACCGCTTCGCCGCCGTCTCCGACTTCTGCGTCATGACCAGCCACACCTACTCCTTCGAGGTGTTCTGCCCGACCTCCAGCCCGGGCTACAAGATTATCAGCGCCCTTGACTGCTCCAAGGTTGATTATGTCTACAACCCTGACAAGGACTATGCGCCCGTCCGCGAGAACTAAACATTCGCTCTGCCTCTTGGAGGGCTTGGTCCTTGAGCTTCCTGCAGTTGACGCAGAGCGCGTCGCGTATCTGCGAGTAGATACTTAAAATACATATCTCTTCACGTATGAATGTATGTATGCATGTGTGTCTGTTGCCTGCCCTATCGACACCCCTTTCCGCCTCCTCCCTGTAGTTCTTCCAAATGCAACCCACCTGAGATGACGCCCCTGCTCTTTGCCTGTGTACCTTGGTGAGCATCCGTAAATGCGCGCGCGCGTGTGTATGTGTGTGTGTGAGTGTGAGTGTGAGTGTGTGTGTGTGTGAGTGTGTG